CAGGAAGAGGGGTGTGTTTATGGGAGTCTGAGATGTGACTTCAGTCTAACCTCTTGCATCTAAAAACACAGCTAGACTTAACTCTTGCCTGTCATATCAGGAGGGTTCTCCAGTGAATTTTAAATAGAACTCCCATAAAAGACACCCTGATGACATTATACTGTTCTGACAAGCCGAGTTCCAACAATACAACTGAAATGATCAATATTCATCAGTTACAACTATTTTCAAAATCGATCAAAGGTGAGGATGTGGTGCTATTCTCTGTTTTCTATCATTATAAACGGAATATGTCGGGGTTTTTCACTGTTGGTTGGACAAATCAACCAATAAGATGTCACATTGGGCTCTGAGCACTTGTAACAGTAATTTTCCTTTATTTTCTGACATTTTTTGGACAAATTATTAATCAATTCATTTATATCATAAATATAACAAACAGATTCATTATTATTGTGCCTTGAAAAGCACAATACTACTCTTCCCCATACTTATAATATTTTATTCTTCCGTACGTTTTTCAGCGCGCTTCTCCTCCCGCAGTTTTGGTCGCACGTACACAAAAAAGGTATCAAACGGCGCCGGACTTATTAGTTATGACTTTTCTATCCGCCAAACAGTTTGCCGATAAATCGCCAAAAACGTTCCAAAAATGAATGGGTGTTTTGCGAGAATCTTCAACTGCCAGACTGCGTGACATCATCGCTGGAGTGTGGGGAGAGCGAAACATTTGACAAAAAATAAATTTGTAAACTGCTCTCAAGGCCACAAATGTCACTCTACAGAAATAATTTATAGATAGAAACGTAGGTAAATCCGTTGGTGTCGCAGTGATACCACTGTTGAAGCTGTCAGACAAATAGTTTTGGCGGGAGACGCACTGATGCGCCAGCAACGCCCTCTCACGGCCCCATCTACTCCCATGTTTAAATGTAGAGGAGAAATGTTTAAAGGAGCTCGTTGAACCTCTCCTTTCTCAATCTCCCCAGGTCACATTTTTTAACTTTAGCCACAGAAACTCGGCACTGCTATAGTCAACAAGATGACGACGCTCACGGTCTTTTCGGTTTTCATTTCGGTCGTTCCTGGCCATGGGTTCGAGGGGATTCATTTTAAATGTTTCTGTCTCTCTGAGGAGTTAGAGACAGAGAGCGCACAGCTGCTGCTGTGGCCTCCCCTGATTGCCACGACAACCAAAGACTGCCTCTCACACACACACACACACACACACACACACACACACACACCTAGCTACAGAGGCTGACAAGGCATTAATAAGCTAGCGCTAGCTAGCTGGCTAGCTAAAGATAATTAGAAGGCGGCTAACAAGCAAACAATTTAAAGCTGAATGATTTTAATATTAACACAAAATAAGTTCAATACACCTTAAATATTTTACCCTACTATGAGCTGTTCCTTAATTTACATTAGCACTCCTTCAGGAGCATAATACAATTAAACACATTAACCAAAGCTAGCACTTAGCTAGCGATTAGTGCATAGCTAGCGATTAGCACATAGCTAGCGATTAGCACATAGCTAGCGATTAGCGCGTAGCTAAGCGCTAGCTTTGGTTAATGTGTTTATGTGTGCTAGCTCTAGCTAGCTAGCTATAGAGAATGACATGGTATTAATATGCTAGCGCTAGCTAAGGAGGATGACAGGTTATCAATATGCTATAGGGAGGATTACATGGCATTATTATGCTAGCGCTAGCGTGCTAGAGAGCAAGACATGGTATTAACATATGGGCCAGAGCAAGGCACAATCAAAATTTCTTTAGGAATTTTCTAGTTGAAAATAATATTTAGCTGCAGCCATACATGACCAGTAAACTGATCTTCATGTGTAAAATCAGTGAAGTTTCTGCCTCTCAAACCTCACAAACCTCCTTCAAATTCACTGAAAAACTACTGTAAACTCACTTCACATCTGCTCAGAAACTGATTTCAGATCAGTTCCTTCCAACACTGACAGACATCTGTTCAGACAATGTTCACCTTACTTTTTTAAATGATTTTCTAAATGATTTCTGTTCATTTTCAAACCTAAAACAAATGAAAGGAGTAAAGCTGTGACTGAAAGCTCACAACAGTGACTCATAAAGCAGTCAGAGTAGTGTCTGAGGAATTTATGACTCGTCTGCAGAGTTTCTGATAAAAAGCAGAATCCAAACACTGCCAACCGCTGGGGGAGCGATTGCTAAGCGGCAGTAAAGATAACATCAACACCAAAACACCACTCCTCAAAGGCTCATTTCTACACATGTATCACTGTAAAGAAGGATTCTCTGCTTTAACTACTGCCACTCATCTCATTACTGCTACATCCATTATGCATATAAATGTGTACAAGCGCATCAGACAATGCATCATAACTTTATAACTGCTGTTACTGAGAAGAGAAATTATTTAAAATCATTATACCCCATTAGTGTGAAAATATGCAGTTTAAAATAAACACGCTGCATTTTACTTCAATTCACTTCAAGAATAGATTATACTCTAATGAAAACATAGCTTTAAATAATATATTCCATTTCTGCTAATAGGTCCATCCTAAATCAGGGGCAGGCAACCTGCGGCTCCGAAGCCACATGTAGCTCTTAAGCCCCTCTCCACTGGCACCCATGTGACTGACAAAAAAATAATACAGAAATGAATGACTGGTGATTCTGATTCTCCAAATGTAAAAATGTGTAACCATTACAGGCAAACAAGAATGTAATGTAAGTGCGCGGGCACATTTGCCGTGACCTGTCAGTTCAGAATATTATAATATTAGAAACACCTTTGAACACAATGCAGTGGAACACCATCTAACTACGACCCCAATGTTAAATCATATAAATGAATGAGTCAACTAAAACTGAACATTATAGGCATCACAAAAGTCGACTTTATGGCAGGACAGTTGTATTGGATTGTAAAGGTGCCTCTAATAAAAAGGACACTGAATGTATATTTCAATATAAAATTAAATGCACTTTGATGTAGAATTTTATCTTAATAAGCTCAACATTCTTTCTATCAAAATGTCAACATCTCCTAGTTTGACAAACAGGATTTACTTTACAGCGGTGATCCTTTAGACTCTTTAATGTTCTTATTCTCTGTCAGGACTTCAGCCTGAAATCACCCGTACTTAAAACTTCAGTGTGGTCGAATCCTGTTAGTACGCCAGCTTGTAGTGTAAGCTGAGCCGGGCCGATCTGATCCGAGCTGAGCTGCAGTGTAGAGTGAAGAGCGCGGGGCGGTGGGGGCGGGTCTGCTCAGGGACATATGGGAGTGATTTTGTGCTGCAGACTGGCCGGCTCTGTTTGAAGGTCTGTCAGCGAGCTCTGAAACTCAGACACTTGAGTCACCTCGTCCTGAAACAAAGGCAGCAATCTGCCTCGTTTCAACGTACTTCTAGAAAACTCAAACTGTTCAGGAAAAACTGACTTCATCAGGGCTTATAGACAGTGCCCGCAAGTTTCACTTTGATTTTACCTTTAAAACAGCTTAGTTACAGTTGAAAATAAAAATCTGGAAATGAAAGCAGCTGTTGACGAAAGAGTTGCATGATAAACAGCGTGCCAAGGTACTTTTTTCATGACTTTATAGTAGTAAGTATAAAATATAATTATAAAACTGTTGGTTTCTAACATTTTTTGTCTATGACCAAGTTTCAAAAGTAAGAGCTGAAATAATTAGATGACTGACAAAAACACCAAATCAGCAACTGTTTTGATAATGACTTCATCCTTTAGGTCATTATTAAACCAACAATTCCAAACATTGTGGCAATAAACTGCATATATTTGGGTTTTGGACTAATTAATCCATAATGAAAACAATCATTAATGCACAATGTCAAGTTATAAAGTGAGTCAACAGATTATAAAGCTTTATAATGAATAACAAAGAGGGTTTCCAACACGTAAAAATCTATAAAATCTAGAGAAGCACTGATTTATTGGCCAATATTCGCCTTGTTGACTGACATCATCCGTTGTGTTGTGCTGGTTAAATGTTGTGTTGGTTGTTTCCAACTTGGATATTGCAGAAATAATCCCCCTTGTTTTCCAGCACTGGCACAAATGGCACCCAAATACAGACGTGCTCTATGCAGCAGCACGGAGAGCAAGCAGCTGTTCAGCTTTGCGTCTCACATCTTGAACAAGAAGAGAAACGGACTGAGCTGCAACAAGGCAGAGACACTTCTTGGTAGCCAATATATATATATAGATATATATATATATATATACATATATATAGATATATAAACCTTCAGACATATCCACATTTTTACTGAATCGACTATTCACTGTTCAATCAGAAAACATTTCACAGCTGAGTTTCAAAACAGTGAGTGGGCGGGGGAAGCAGCAGGAACCAGGAATTATCAGGTCAAAAATGCCCAAGAAAAGTTAAAGAACACACAGTCTTTCCTCATATCAAGGCATGACTTCACCTTTAATCTCTCTCCCTCTCCCTCTCTCTCTCTCTCCCTCTCTCTCCCCCAAGGCATTACTTCACCTATATCACACACACACACACACACAGATCCAGACGCAGCCTTCAGGCCCGGTGTAATCACAGCTCTTCCTGCTCTCCTGCACTGTGGTTATTAATCAAACCAGACGACAGCTCAAATGAGTCAATCAGAACCTGCAATTAAAGGCCAGGAAGCCTCCTGATTGGCCAACTATGCCTTCAGCCCTAGGGTCAAAGGTTAATCTCCTCAGAGAGCAGGAGGGGGAGCGGGTTGGCTAATTAAGTTTTAAGGAGTAATCACCGGTGCCTGTCCACAAAAAAATAATGTCTGTTTATGTTTTCTGTGTGTGTGTGTGTGTGTGTGTGTGTGTGTGTTGGAGACACAGGGTAACTCAAAAGGAGCAGAAAGCCAGGCAGTAATGTTTTTCATGTGACCACAATAAACATCCTGCAGACGTTACACACTGACTGCAGGGAGCTGAGCTGGAACAGCACCGAGTGGTTGTGTGTGTTTTGCCGTACCTGACTGGTGGCTCCATGGTAGAACAGTGTGTGTGTCGGTGCACGGCTCCATGGGAAATGTAGTCTTGAAGCAGAGGAAGCCAGTCAGATCAGACCAACATCACAACCACCAACCTGTCAGATAGACACACGAGGACGATCAAACAAAGAGGTTTTCGTTTTTCACTGGAACATTTCCACGATTATGTTGTTAATCTGTATGTTGCTATTCCACATGGAACATAACAGGGCCAAACAAACAATCAGGGCTGATTATTACTAATCAGGGAAACCCATAACCAACACTTGGAACCGATATAGATTTGGAGCAAAAATGAAAATCTGAAGTGATGAATGAACTAATGCATCAATAATTATAATACAATAACACAATATGCATTATTCTAAGTATATTTAAAGCTAATACTTTTGTACTTTTAATTAAGTAAAAGAAATACCAGAGTGTAAAAATACTGTTACAAGTACAAGTCCTGTATTCAAATTCTTAATTCAATGAAACATCTGAGTACACTTTAACCATATGCTCAATGCTTTAAAATAACTTTTCAATGTTATCTTAAATTGAGTTAGCCTCAGATCTAAAGTTAAGAAGAAAAGAAGACCAATTATTGGGAAAAAGCTGAACATTGGATCCGATGTAGGTCTATCCCTACTAGGAAGATCAAGAGCTGCGGGAGCTCCGTGAAAGGGCTAAGAGAGAGAGAGAGAGCTACCGGTAGTCAATGGCGCAACACAGCCTCGTACTTCGGGAAACTGGTGGTGTACCTGCGGACAAGCTAATATATGGTCACCGAAGAGGAGTGCCTGTGTTGCACGGAGTGGGACCTGTTGCATCGCGACACCCAAGAGACGCAGTGTTTTTGTACAGTCAGTACAGATTTTCCCTCTCTGATAAACAGGCTGTACTCGAAACTTTTTTCCATGTCCCAACAATAAATTGGAGGCAGCGACTCATACCGGAGGGACCAGATGGACAGTTATCCACTGAGTAAGTACACTAGACAAGTTGTGTTTTACATCTGTGCGATTATTTCTGATATATTGAGCAAATTAAATTTGTTTTAGTTCACATTGCCAGCTGTAAGTCTTGATCATTGATCTGCATGAATGACCTAACCCCTGACTGTTTTCCCAAGATGGCCCCCTTTATACGCGACCTCTTTTTTTTAAATTTTCTTTTTAAAAATTTTTTTCCTTTTAAAATTTTTTGGACCGTGTGAGTGTGGTGCTATTTTGAGTCTTGTTAGTGGTATAAAAAGCGATTTCTTTTCACTTTACTCTGTGCCCCGTTGGCTAGCGTTATAAGCTAATTAGCGGTTTGTGCTAAAAACCGGTCACGGTCGATTAGCATGAAAACATATCCCAGAGAACGGACCAACTCGGTACACATGTGTTATTAACCCCAGGTTCATTTTGCACCGGAATTGTCCTTTAAAAGACAAACAGAAGTTTCTCAGAAGATCCCTTATAACACTGTCAAGGAACACAAGAACCTCTTTATATTCCCTTCAATCTCCTTATGGATCATTGGAGCCTTGAAGATTCCTTGAAACCCAATCCACATCCAACAGAACATTCTCAGAACCTCACAATGCCAAATGTGCTATGGGGACCTATTAAAAGTCCTAGATCCCTTAAATGATCACTGGAACCTCTTTCACAAATACAACAAACACATTATTGGCATCCAGCAAGTAATGGAAACTTCTTTAAGACCACAACAACAATATTTACATATCTGAATGAGGTTTGAAGTTGTTCTTAAACGAGGGGTTCTGTGGACATTTGTCCCAGTCAGTTAGACAGGTGATACAGCTGGGCAGCAGTCATAAGTAACTGGCGTTGCTGAGGACTGAAGCTATGGAACCACAGATTTGGCAGTTTTGGCTCAACTGAGTGAGGGAAGCGAGGATACACATAGATAGCATACTGAAAAGCAGCCAATGAATGTTTCAAGACTCTTTGCGTCCTCTGAAGTCCACTAGAGCCCCTAAGGGTCCAATGGAATTGCCTTTAAGACTCCAGGGCACGAATCCGGTCCATCATTAGATCAGTGTTGCTGTTTGTAAGGAGATAAGTGGAGCAGCGTGGCTGACAGTCGGAGCCTCCTCCCTCCTCCCTCCTCGTCTCCTCCAACACAGAACCCTTTTTATTTGACAGCACAGAGCTCCTCAAAAGAGGCTTTATTTAGTCAAGGAGGCCGACGTCAGGAGAGTGAGTTAATATTCACACCCAGAGAGGAAAGCTGAACACTGGCTGGCGGTTTATAGACTCCGAGCTGAGATACTGCAGACAGAACAGGAAGCTGTTCACACAACAGCCAGACTAACAAAATAAAACAGTCAAGTCAAACTACTGGCTGAAATGTTCGCTGCAATCCAACAAATTTAAATGTTGCAGTGGACAAACGTGATGATCTTTATTGTTAGAGCTCATCCTCTGGAGAACAGGAACACCCAGAGGCAATTTTAAAGAAGGTCTGACCAAAGGTTTTTGAGATCTCTCACTTTGGACCAGAGTTTTGGATGGAGACACCAACTGACTGACGTTGACTGTGGGTAAACAAGAACAAACTGATCCCTTGAGATCAAAAGTCGGGGTCATGAGTGAGCAGCAGATCTTCAGTAGGGTGTGGAGGGTCTGCTTCTGTCTCCTCTGGCTTCACACTACAACACCCTGCTGCCGCCAAAACCAACACACTCAGCTGGAAAATGCACTCAAGACCGTGTGGAAAAGTGTTGATGAGTTGACCAGCAACTTCAGAGTGTGTGTGGGATAGTGTGTGCTGGGCTCCACCCCATGGGAGGAAAAACGACAGCGGTAGGGATTCAGCCGCTGAGTTATTATAGAACAGACGAGGAGAAAATAGATGTCCGAAGACGGGGGCTGAGAGCGGTCACAAGGTTGGCGAAAAAACAGCTGCACACGCACACGCACACACACACACTTTATGGATAGAGGCGTTGCCAAGAAAAAGAGACAGACGAGGGAAAAAGAGTTCCTGCTCTCCCACACAAGGATGAAGTGAAGTGAAACAGCTCTGCTTTCCATCCAACTATCTTTATGTGAACTATGATGAATTCTTACAGCTGAGTGGAAACAGTATAAAAGCAGTAAAAACCCTCAACATTGCAAAAATAAATAAATAAAGGTTTTACCCCCAACTGGAGGGAAGAGTTTGGTTGAAATATAAATAATGCAACAGGAAATAGGAACACTAAGATCATATAGATAGTACCTAAGTCGAACACTCAATACTGAATAAATTGACTGAATTACGGATTTATTCAGTATTGATAATTATTTCCCCAGTTAATTCATTAATTTAGAATACAATTAAAAATAAACTAAAGGCCTGTCCTCACGAATACGTTTTCCTCGAATCCAGATAAATAAATCAATTCTTTTTAAAGAATCGTATCGGTGGGCCTCTTAAGACCTCAGACATATCAGGGTCAGACGGGCATATTTCAAGGGCTCTCCAAATCCACACGGTTTGCACTTAATTTATCAATGATGTTGGGTGATACGATATCATCTAATCTTTACAGTTTTGTAGTAGCTGTAGCTTATGTCACATTAAAGGCGAGTTTACTTTCACTGACTCAAGTGCTGGAAATGTATTACTTTATTTATTACATTTGGGTTTCCCAGACATTCAACTGCTGGAAAATGAGCTCCGAAGAAACGCCAAAGATTACCGATTTGAGTCATCATTTGAGCAAGACGATGACAATAGGGATGTTTTCCCAGAGTTCAATGTGTTTTTTGACTAAGCTACACCACCATGCTCTGGGCAGCTTCTCTAACAGACAAACAAATAAAGGAAAGGAGCTTTTTACCTCACTGCCCCCCGCTCTGCTTTTTCACACTTTCCTTTTCCCCACTTTTCCTCCACACACTGATCCTGAACAGACTCAAAGAGTACAACGTGATGGCTTTAAAACATGACCATCAACTACGTGATAGAAATTTTATTTAACATTCTGCAAATAACCACCTGAAAGCTACTGTGATATGAAGTGCAGTACAGGTGATAACAGGTTTTGCGCCATTTGTGTCAGCAGTTAACACATACAGGTTACACTCTATTGTTATCTTAAGAATTTGCACAAAGGCCAAAATTTGGACCACACATAAGTTTGGCAGCATGCAGCAGCTAGTAAGTAGTTTGAAGCATAAACTGCTCTGAGGCAGTTGATGGTTAAATGTAAATTCCTGTGCTGGAGCGACGTGTCAGATGAAGGTGTGAAACCACAGTCAGACGGAAAAGCTGTGAAACCAGTCCTACTCACATAAGGAAGGCTGGCAGAGGTATGCAGGCTGTGATTGTACATAAACACACACATAAACACACACATAAACACACACACAGACACAGACACACACACACACACACACACACACACACACACACACACACACACACACACACACTTGGACTGACAGAAGAGCTCAAGAGAACAAACACTGACTCATTCTGCAACTCATGAGGTTAATCAGCAGTGGAAACAAAGATTATAATGGGGGCAGAGCTAGTGTTAAAAATACTAGTCAATTCATTAATTAGCAGAATTTTATAATATTACTGTAAACTAAAAGTGAAAGGGGCTGGTTTTGCACTGTCGACCAGTCACCTGATATTTCTTTTGCACTGCTCACTGACTTTACAGGAAAATATATCGCCCATACTTAAAGCGATTTGGCACCCCCAGTTTCAGGGTGTACACCACTGATAGATATGGACAGCTGTACAAGTGAATTCGTTATGATTTTACATTACTTATGATCAAAAATGAGCAAGCTGACAACTTTGCTAACTCAGCCAAACATCAAGCAAGTGCAACCAGACAAGCCAGCTAGCATTACTTAAAAGTCCAGCTCGTGATTCTAAAGCTTCACCAAAATCAATGACATAGTTGGTGGTGTGTGACTCAGTGTTGTAAAGGGTTATGCTCCCGACCTGGGCCCAAAACTCACATAGTGCTAGAACAGGCGTACGGGGTGTAGAGTGGGAACGACAGAGGTACCATTCAGTGATTCTGAAGGTGTTATTTTAAAAAAGAAAAGTTACATAATGTTGCTTTAAATGTGCCTTTATAAGTGTCATCGCC